AACTGACGCCATCGCACTATTTTATTATTTGTTTTTTTTTGTACGCATAAGGATAAGTTAGACTAAGTTAGATTAACTTGGATAAGTTTATATTTTTTTTAATTTTATCACAAAATTTCCGCAATAAATTATTACCTTTTCTACAGTGATTCTCTCCTCTTAGTTTCGGCGTAACTGTAGGATGTTATAGTGAGTCACCGTCAGTTACTAAGCGGCCATAAAATCATTATATGTATGTATAGACATACATTTATACATTTTTTGATTTAATATTTATGCTTTTTGAATTTTGATTGATTTTTTGAGACCTGGTAAAATTATTTTTTTCCATACCAATTGATGGGCCTGAGTATAATGCCAGTTATGCTCTTTGGCTGAAGTTATTTTTTATTTTATGCTCAATTGCAGACAAAACAATATTGATTGCGCATTTCTAAAACAAAATTTTACCTCTTCTCCTTCTAATAATAGCTCCTGCACCTAACACGGCGGAATAGTTAGTATTATCTATAAGACCATTTGCGAAAACAGTTTTTGTTAACAGTTATGAGTGTAACATTTTATCAGCTGCTTTGTTTATAATGCCTTGAGCAACACTTTGCCGGTTTCTGTACAGAAAATGATGCTGGCTTTGCCAATACGGATAGCCGCTACCATTGAATATAATACCTGCTACGTTACACTTATTTACATAGAAACTTTAATTATCTATACAAATAAATAAAATTGAAGTGTCTGTATGTAATGTCAAAATTACAGTTTTTTACTAAATGCATATGAAAGTAAATACGATACCTATAACCAAAATACAATTTTAAAATTTTTGTCTGTCTGTCTGTCTGTCTGTCTGTTTGTTCCGGGTAATCTCCGAAACGGCTGGACCGATTTTGACGGGACTTTCACTGGCAGATAGCTGATTTCATAAGGAGTAAAATAGGCTACTTTTATTTTAGAAAAATAATCAGGGTTCCGCGCAGAAACATAAAAACACTAACACGCGAACGAAGTCGCGAGGAACAGCTAGTCATTTGCATAAAATTCTAAATAGCACTTTTTACACAAGAAAGTAAACTTTTAGATCAGTCCATTTTGTTTTTCACTAATTAAGTAAAAAGTAAAACAAACCAATAGGGCCGGGAATTAAAATTTCTTGCAACTTTTTATAGAAAAGCATGACCTTATCATAATACAAAAGTCAATCATTTAGCCATATGATAAAACTTTTAAGTGTGCCAGTCAAACATTAATGATGATATGTCATTATACTGGAAATAGTCTTTTAAATATTTTGTAGTACAATTGATAATCTTCAGTATGATTGACCGTGTATATGACTTTTATAAGTCTATGTTATTTTTGATGAAAATTATTATTGCAGATAAAAGCCCTTTCACATTTATTTTAGTCTCGAATTAAATTAATCAAAATGAAAATAATAACTTTGGCTCTTTATAACTGATCTTTAAATGTAACACACTGACTGGAAATTATATAATTATTAGCATTTTTTTTAATTCATTGAACTTTTTTAAGATTTTGTTGCAACTCTACTGGTAAAAAAAACAAATATATATATAAAAATATATATTATAGTTCTTAATGAAAATAATGTATGCGCGTTACATCGCATCCCATCAAGAATTTCTAATGTAATTCTTGGTGTAAAGCTAAGACGTGATAATAACTGTAAACAATAGAATAACAAAATAATGAAAACATTTACATTTACATACAAAACATTTACAAAAATACTTGCTTTTTAACCTAATAAATATTATTTGACCGTAATAAAATAAAACAAGGTAGTCTTGGGCATGAAAGTAAAAATAAATATTTTAGATTATTTTTGCAATATCTAACAGCCGGATCAGCGGGCGAATCTGATCAGATGGATCTGATAGATGCTAAATTTCAGCAAGCACTGTCAAATTCAATAGGAGTGACAGAAAAACGGTTCTTGATATAGAAAGGTAAATAAATTATTTAACCTATAAAGTAAAATCACTTTATTACAAATCAAAATAGCCCAATAGCTTTATTAACATGAGACATAATTGTACGAGTGCTTACAATACTTAACATTATTTTACTGAAATCTCAGAAAGTTTTTTTTTTAAATAGAATAAGGGTGACAACCGAGCACTCAGTCCACCTGATGGTAAGTGGTTGCTACGGCCCATACACATCTACATCTATTCTCGATTACGTTTCAAAATGTAGATGCGTTGTCACCCGTGAGGACTAAGATGTAATGCCTCGTTTCCAGTAAAAAGGTTCTCCGGTTCTCTACACTCACCATACGAAACACAGCAGGGTTAAACTGCTATTTTACATGTTATTCCGTGAGAGCGTGGCCGTTCCCCGGTCGAGCCGACCTATTCGTGCTACAACTATACCTAATTAATATAGCTGTAGCATGGCTCTACCACGTAAAAAAAATTGACGTTGAAAATTTAAGTATTTTAGAAGCAACTTTGCAATTATTTTCTATTGAGTTAATTTTTGTGGAATCGTGTTTTGCAAACCGCCACCTAAAATACGTACAATTTTTTTTCGATAATGACGTGAAATTACAAAACGATCCCCATGCATTTCAATGTGGCTCTATTCAGCCTCTTAATATGAACATACCTCGGATTTCAGAGATAATGGAAGATATAATATTATATTATTACTGTTCCGTGTGAGGCAACCTTTATACTTATATACATATTCTCATCATATTTTTATGGTTGGTTAGAAAACTTATATCTAAATGCAAACTTTCACAGGGTAAATTTTTTTTACTATTTTTACCCAGCAAGTAGTAAAGCAACTACAATCCCATCGGTAAGTGGTTATGTAGTCTAAGATGGTGAATTGCACTGACTTAACAAAAACCTATTCACTCTTGCCTAATAGTACTAGGTAAGTATTATTTGCGACCTATTTGTGTGTGTGTGTGTGTGTGTGTGTGTGTGTGTGTGTGTGTGTGTGTGTGCGTGCGTGCTTGCGCGCATGTGCGTGTGTGTGTGTGTGTGTGTATGTGTGAAGAAAAGTGTATGAGAATACGTGAAGAGGAATAAAGGTTGAGTACTAATTCGCTTACCTGTACGAGGTTACCACTCGAGGACCTTTCTTCCTATTTTTTATATGTTTTCCAAGTTATATAGCTAGCCCATTGCCATTTCACTGTAATATTCCGTTGAGCTATGTCAGTTACTCTGATTCTAATGCAAATACCTTCATTTCTAACTTTATCATGTAGAGAAACCCCTCTCCAATTTAAAATTTTTACATTTTGTAGATGATAGTTTGTCTAACATAAAAAAAAACCATAAACCCAAGAATATCTTTATATAGTTATTTATACTTAGGTAAGCACCATTCTTTTATTTATTTAAATTGTTTGATTTAATTTGATAACAGTGTACCTAAATGTAAGTATCTGTATCTTTATTTCTCTCCCCAATAATATTTTATAAAGTCATACTTATAAAAACAGCGTTTTATTGTAATACATAATTATAAAATTCATTATCAACTAATTAATAAGAATATGCAACAATAAAATTACTTGGGTATTAAAAACTATCGAAATCTAAGTAACGAGAGCATGTTCGTCGTTCCACATCTAAATTATATAAAAATGCATTTTTCAATTTCACTAATCAACGTCGCCGCAAAAATTTCTTCTTCTTTGGGCACTTTAAAAATTCATTTATTTAGAAAATAATATTTACAGTTACCAGTGTACAGATATTAACTAAATTAAGTATTTCTAGTCATAAAAATATTTATAAATGAGTATAAACTTTTAAAAAACTAATATATATTTGAACGAAGTCGCTCCAACACCGACGTGCGGTCCACCCTCGACGATGTCCGAAAACGGACTGTGAAAGAGCTTACATGGCGACGGAGCATGCGCGCTCGCGTAAATATAGTCAATTTCAGGGAAAAATGATATATTCTCTTATAAAACGGGTAATAAAAATAAAACTCTCAATTAAAAATATTAATATTTTTAAGACATTTTTTTAGTGTAAGAGCTATTTAAAAAGCTTGTGCCGTTTTGGAGATATTTTGCAAAATATGACAAAGATAGGTACTCTTTGGGGATTTTTTTTCTAATAAGGGGTTGACAAAAATACAATTTTGTTAAATTAAAAACATTTAACAAATCTTCTTCTGTTACCTTGTAATTTTTCTTTGTGGATTAAACGAACAGTTATTGAGATTTTTTTACTTAAATATCCTAGATTTAGGCATTTCAACCACTGTTAAGGCCTTAAGGCACATAGGCGCACATTATAACTTGAGGTTTATTTCGACGACGAAGCACTTGTTTCGACGTTTCCACTTGTAGTTCAAATGCGAAGACACTTTATACATGAAATCGCATCACTTTTACTTGTCAACATCTAATTCAAAACATTATTTAAATGATGAAACTGGTGCCATATTCCGTCCACGATCCAGTTCTCGCCAAAACTCCAAAAATTAATTTATTTAATCTAAAAACTAAAGTGCGGTTACCTAGGTTTATGGATGCTTTTGGTTAAAATTAGATAAATCCGAATTTTTTGAATAAACTATTATCATTTTAATTACATGGGATGCTACTTGCGTAGACACTTTGGCGGCTTCTTATGTCAGGGGTTAGTGCTTAGTTTAGAACCAGGGCGGCATCACAACTATGTAAGTAGCGCAAATATGAGTCTCTGAGAGATTACTTTATGTTTGTGTGTGTTCGTGATTGCTGTGGAGATAATAGGATCGTGGCGTCTACGTGCGGTGAAGTTCCTAAAAGAACTGTATCTGCGACTGTTCTTTGCTGCTGGTGATAAGTGGGCTGGTTCCTTTCTCGCTCAAAGGCTAAGTATAGCCATTCCACAAGGAAACGCAGCCAAAAAGAGAAATAAGTAAAACGTATGTAACGCAACTTCGTGCTTAACAAAAAACCACAGGCGTTTGCGTAGACATGCCCCCCGGCGTTGAAAGCTTGTCTTTCAACAAAATTAGCCTTCCTTGTTGTTAGGTAAAGGGGAGATTTTGCAGAAAGGTCTTCGGACGATTCCGGTGGCAGTTCTGATATCGGCAACGCGGTTGATGCCGTCGGCTCCGGGATGAAAGGCTGTAATTCGATCCAGTCGCCATTTGAGCGGCGGTAAATTGTCTTCCTTCAGGACTACAAGATCACCCGTCCCTAAAGTGTCAGCATTGGAACGCCATTTTGATCTCTGCTGGAGTTCTGAGAGATATTCCTTGCTCCATCTTCTCCAAAAATGTTGACGAAGTTGTTGGATGCGTTGGTATCGACTCAGTCTACTGCTAGGGACTTCTTCATAATTTTGAGAAGGAAGAGAGGTGATGGGGCGGCCGATGAGGAAATGTCCCGGGGTTAATGGCAGTAAGTCATCAGGATCCGTGGAGAGAGGTGTCAGCGGACGAGAGTTCAGTACACCTTCAATTTGAACCAGCACAGTGTTTAATTCCTCGTATGTAAGGTTACAATTACCTAATATTCTCCGTAAATTATATTTTATGGACTTAACGCCTGCTTCCCAAAGACCGCCAAAGTGAGGGGCTTGCGGAGGAATTAAATGGAAATTTATATTTTCCTGAGCCAAATTCTCGGACAGTGAATTGCAATTGTCTTTTATAAAACGACTGATTTCGTTGTATGCGCCTACGAATGAAGTTCCGTTGTCGGAGTATATGTGTTTAGGTTTTCCGCGACGTGAAATGAATCGACGAAGTGCTGTGTGCCTAGTGCGAGTTTTTTTACGCGCTCGATAGCGAGAAAGTTAACTACAATTTGTATGGAATAAAATTAGCGCTAACTAGTGGCAATAATCGGAATCACAGTACATGAGTGCGAGTTTATTACGTCGTCGATATCGACCATCGAGCATTCACTCGCATTCGACAGCGAGAACGTAAACGCACGTGATTGGTTGTTTCAAGAATTTTGCGAGTGCGAGTTCCAATTTTGATCTAACATAAATAAAGTTTACGCGGTCGATATCGAAAAAGTTTTCACCTAAATTTTGACAGTGAGAAAGCATAGTGAGAACGATTGTTGAAGGTTTAATTTTATTTCGGTTTGTGTGAACAATATTTAATTATGGCAGGACGTTTTTTTTCGCATGGAGGATGTTTACAGCCGCTAAGGCACAAGATGAGCGCAATTATAAAGCCAATGTTGAAAGAAGAACTCGTGCATCTTTGAACCCTTTGTTACACCTCACGGGGAGGCACTTTAAAGATAGATATCGCATTTCCAAGAAAGTCTTCAAGTTTTTGTGTAAAGAGCTAAGGAGTTTGACAAATCTTAGGTCCTCTCAACGCGTTTCCTTGGAACATAAAGTATGTATCGATCATTAAAGTATTCACATTTTTGCAACTCAAGTTTAAAACAAGTGCAAGTTTAAATATAAGTTTGTTCTCTTTTTAATTGCAGGTGCTCACTGCTCTATTCTTTTTTGCGACTGGATCCTACCAAATGCCAGTTGGGGTTACAAAGCACACGTCTCAAATAATGTGTAGTGTGTACATAGAAGAAGTTACCCAGCGCTGACACACAAAAATATAATAAATAAATATATTCGGTTCCCTGATACTCCAGCTGCTAGACAAGCAGTTAGTCAACGATAATAAATATATGCTTATTTTTAAACAACCTAATGCAAATTAATCATTAGATTCAGTTAATATTTATTTTAAAATTCAGTTTTTACAGAAAATATGAAATCCCTGGAGTGGTAGGTTGTATTGATGGAAGTCATTTTAAAATAGTTGCCCCACCAAAAGAAGAGGAACATTTGTATTATAGTTGTAAGCACTACCATTCACTTAATGTTCAAATGGTAAATATTAAGTTTTTTTTATTTTTACTTGGTTAAAAAGGGGTAGAAAATAAACAAAATGTCTTCTTTTCAGGTATGTGATGATGAATATAGAATTTTAAATGTGAATTCCAAGTGTGGAGGTGCTAATCATGATTCCTTTATAAGGGAAAACAGTAATTTAAACACATACTTCAATCTTTGCACCAAAATGGAGAAATTGTCTGGCTTTTAGGTAATATATCCACAGTATAACTTATTGGGATGTTTTGAGTTATATGAAGTTTTTTTAAGTAAAACATTACTAAATAATTTCTATCTATATTATTGACAATAACATGTATATTTTAACTCTAGGAGATTCTGGATATCCCCAACGCCCATGGCTTATGACACCATTTTTAGACACTGAGTCCTATAATTATAATGAAAAACACATGAGAGCTCAAGTTGTTATTGAGAACACATTTTCAAGGCTGAAAAATCGATGACGATGTCTGCACAAGGATAGAGTTTTGCACTACAAGCCCGTAAAATGTGCACACATTATTTTAGTATGCTCTGTGTTACATAATATAATTATTAATTTTGATGTTGAGGATACAGAGGAAAATATAGGTAGGTATCTTAATTTTAAATTGAATTACTATAATATATTAAGCTAACTTATAAACAGTAAACTTATTAATTATGATTTATTTTTAGGTCTGCAATTTGAAAGAATGGTGGAATCTGATCAAATAAGTTACACAGAAAGAGAACCTACCTCTGATTTAATTCAAGGTAGAATATTAAGAGATCAATTAGCAAGAAGGTTACTATAGGGATTAAATAAATAAATTTGAATAAGCTTAAATCTTTCTTTTATTTATAACCAGCCTTAAATTTTATCACAAATTTAATTAAATAATTACAATTACAACTTAATACAATAATTTAATAATTACAAGAACATTGAAACAGAACAGAAAAGTAATCTAAATTATTTTGTAGAGCCATGCTACAGCTATAATAGTAGTATAGTTGTAGCACAAATAGGTCGGCTCGACCGGGGAAGGACCACGCTCTCACAGAATACCAGCGTAAAATAGCAGCCTAACACTGCTGTGTTTCATATGGTGAGTGTAGAGAACCGGAGTCCCTTGTGCTGCCTGCTCTGTGTGTGCTGGCCTCACTCGTCTTCGAGGTGATCCTCGAGTACGAATTGGTCTTGCACGGCAAGGTGTAGTTTGCCCCGACAAAGCAGGCCCTGGTTGACTTTCTTGGCAACATGAGGTTGTGTTGATTGCCCTGGGTCGTTCCAAGATTGAGAACCTTAAATATGAAAAATATAAATGAAACTTTCAACAAAATCAATATACCTAGTAGTTGTGTACAAGAACCAAAAAGACAAACAAGTTGGCTTTTTTTTTGAAGCAAATACATACATAAACACTCACGCCTGTCACCCAGAGGGGTAGGCAGACTACGGACTTCAATGTTTCATAGAATTAGAGAACCAAAACCCAGTTTAAACCAAAATATATAAAAATAAATAATCATTTAGACGTACCTTCTTCCATTTCTCAGTACTTTTTGTATCACCACTACCATCACTATTCAAAAATTGAGCTAATTCCTCCCAGTTTTTTATACAAGCCATCCTACTTCTTGCATTATTGGATGGTTTGCTGAGATCTCCATGCCTAAAACCAATAAACTTAGTTACAAAATATACAACAACATATTAATATGTTCCCTAAACACTAAATAAATTAAATTCAACTTACTGCTCCATAATTGTCACCATCAAATCGAATTGGGACGAACTAGTCTTCATATTTTTTTACTTATAATTATAATTTAATATTTTCAATAATCGTAAGTTCACAACAAACAAACTGTCAAAGTATATGAAAGATGCTATAATAACCACAACTTTGATAGACAGCTTCTAATATTAAGACGACTAAGTAACTATGTCATCCTAAACTTGGTTAGTTTATTTCACGACGCTAACGTGTTACCAACATAAGAGAAGGAACGAACGCGATTCACGGTGAGTAAACGCGAATCGAAAGGTTAGCTTCGATTGTAACACACACTCGCTTGTCTTCACTTGTCGATAGGTATGGCGTTAACTCGGTTAACGCGATGGTGAAGTCATTCGAATTATTTTGTGGAACTCGCACTAGGCACACTGATAAGTAATTATTACTTGTTAGATCGCCTGTTAACTCCACGTGTACAGCCTTTGTCGCAAAACAAACGACGATGAGAATATACACTTTCGTAAGCTTGCAACCACGGCCTTGACGACTGGCGGACATAATAGGTCCAGCATAATCGACGCCAACGCTCTCGAAGGGAAAACCGCCGGGAGTCACTCGACCCTGAGGCAGATTGCCCATAAGTGGATTTATAACCCTTCCCTTATAACGACAACATAAGTGACATTGTCGATAACAATATTTAGCTAACTTGAGGCCTCCGATGGGCCAATACATTTCTCTAATTGAAGCTAATAGTAAACGAGGACCGGCGTGTAAAAGCTTGACATGCATATACTTAAACAATAATTTGGTAAAACGATTATTGGACTGTAACATAATCGGATGTTTCTTTTCATAAGTAAATAATGCATTTTCTAAACGACCACCGACACGCATTATTTTATTTTCGTCTAGGAAAGGATTAAATTTCAAAATAGTACATTTTGAAGGCAATTTTTTGTTATTATATAAGGTCACATATTCCTCGAATGACTCAATTTGTGACAATCTAATCAAAGTATTTAAAGAATTATGTAGTTCGTCGTTACTTAAAAATTTACTTTGTACCGGTTTCTTTTTACAAATATTAATAAATCTTAACACGTAGGCCATAGAACGTTGTAATCTTATAAAATTAGAGAATCTCTCAAAGTCAATTAAAGGTTTTTTCTGATCGGTAACAACTAAAGAAATCTCTGAGCGAGTTTCTGGTAGCTTATCACTTACAATAGGGTTAGCAGGCCAACTAGACATGTCACCTTTTAAAAACTGTGGACCAGACCACCATAAGTCAAGATTATGAATTTGATTTATGTTCGTACCGCGGGAAACATAGTCTGCCGGATTGAGATCAGTGGGAACATGTCGCCAAGTAAATGAACCTGTTTTTTCCAAAATTTCGGCAACTCGATTACGAACAAAAGGTTGTAATTTGTTAGGTAGCATTTTTAACCAACCTAATACGATTGTCGAATCTGACCAAAAAATTACTGATCTTACTTGGATTCGAAGCGAACTTATCACCTTCTCATAGAGACGGACACCGACAAGTGCAGCGCAGAGCTCAAGCCGTGGTATTGTAGTCGGCCTTATGGGAGCTACGCGACTTTTGGCTGAAAGTAAACGCACCATCACATTATTTTTATTATTAGAACTACGGACATACAGACATGCTCCGTAAGCCACTTGAGATGCGTCACTAAAAATATGTAAGTCTACATTAATATATTGATTGCAGATAACACTGCGTGGAATTCTTAAATTGTTTAAAAATGATAAGTTTTCTACAATTGAAAGCCATAATTTAATTATTTCCGAAGGCAACTGTTCGTCCCATGTAAGTTTAAGTAACCATAATTTTTGCATTAAAATTTTCATAGAAATTATGCATGGGGTCAGAAGACCCAGTGGATGAAAGATTTGTGAAATAACCGAGAGTAATCCGCGTTTTGTAAAATTATTTAAAACGATTTCACTCGTCGAAAAATACAGTTCATCAGACTCGATTTGCCAGCTGAGACCTAATGTTTTACAGGGTTCCGT